TTATTATATATGCCTGAGTGGGTTTTTTGTTTGTGTTTTTTAAAAAGCTAAAGTGGATAGAGAGAAATACATTTAACTGATGGTATATGGGGGGGATTATAATCAATGTTTTATGAATTGTTGAATGTGAAACTGATGATGTGCCCTGTAAACTTTCATGCAATTCACAAGAAAAACCTTAAATTTAAAAAAAAAAAAAAAGCTACACTGGAAGGCAAACCCAGAGATGGAAAGCATACAATGGATTAGCTAGGAATCAAAAAGAAAGGAATACTGATACATGCTACAAAATGGCTAACTGATGAAAACATCCCGCTAAGTAAATAAACTATAACACCCCACTTGTATGAAGTATCCACAATAGAGACCAAAGTTTATTAGTGCATATCAGGAGCTGGGAGGAGAAAAGTGGGAAGTTACTACTTAAAGGGTCCTGAATTCCTATCTGGGCGAAAAACACTTTTGAAAATAGGTACTGTAAGGGTTCAGTAACATGATGAATGTAATTGTCAGTAAATTATACACTTTAAAATGGTCAAAACAGAAAACTTTTTGTTTTACATATGTACCATAATAATTTTTTAATTTGAAAAAAATTACTGTATAATTCGTTTACCTATATTTTAGGCAAGGAGCTCTGGTAGCATAGTGGTTATGAATCAGGCTGCTAATCTCAAAGTCAGCAGTTTGAAACTGCCAGCAATTCCGCAGAAGAAAGATGAGGCTTTCTGCTCCCATAAAGATTTACAGCCTGGGAAACCCTATACAGGGTTGCTGTGAGTCAGAATCGATTCCACGGCACATAACCACCACCATCATATTTTAGGCCATAACAAAGCAATCTACCAGCTAATTATAAAAAGTTTTGATTTACAGGATGCTTTTCAAGAACTTGTATGTACAATGTAGCTAATTAAACTCCTACAATTCAAGAATTTCAATCAGCTCTAGTGATTGTTTAAAACCTATTACTATTATTTAGACTGGAGTCCTGGTGTGGTGCTATGGGTTAATGCGCTGGACTGCAAGATCGGTTTGAACCGCAAGGTCAGTGGTTCAAGCTCATCAGCCACTCCTTGAAAACCCTATACAGGGTCGCTGAATCGGAACCAACTTAACATCACTTAATAACAACAACAATGACTTGGACTATTTATATTATAGGTAGTCCTTGGTTGCAAACCTCTGACTTACAGATAACTTGTAGTTAGTTGCCTTTTAATATTATATAAATTTACCCACATTGAAACTACTGCACCAAGCCCTACTTGTAACAAATTCATTGGACTCACCCTCACTTGTACCTTTACATGCACAGCTTTTAATCAGCCTTTTCTTGCACTAAAAGAAGGCTAAATATGAACTATAGGCAACTGTTCCCACATGCCTGCAAATTCATAAAGACACAGTTTGAAACTGATCTGCTTGTAACGTAATGACTGCCGGCATAAAAGGTCTGTTCTCCTTATGAGCTGTTGAGTCTATTCCAACTCATAATGACCCTACTGAACCCCTAGGGCTTCCTGAGCTATAATCTTTACGGGAAGGAGTCTGCTGGTGTTTGTGGGTTGGGTATTGGACTGCTAATCACAGGCCAGCAGTTCAAGCCTACCAATTTCTCTGTGGGAGACAGATGGGGCTGTGTACTCCCATAAGGATGTAGTCTCAAAACTCTATATAGGGTTGCTGTAAGTAGTGATAAGGAGCTCTGGTAGTGTAAGGTTACGAGTCAGGCTGCTAACCTCAAGGTCAGCAGTTTGAAACTACCGGGTTTTCTGTGGGAGAAAGATGAGGCTTTCTGCTCCTGTAAAGATTTACAGCCTTGGAAACCCTTTGCAGGGTCGCTCTAAGTCAGAACCAACTCCTTGGCACACCACCATCACCAGCACCACCATAAGTAGCAATCGCCTAGATAGCAATGGGTAATCTTTATGGGAGTAGGTTGTTAATCCTGAGGAGTGACTGCTGAGGTCACCCACTGACCCTTCTATCCGTTTAACCATTTCACCATTATGAGGAAAAAACAGAAACAGCCCTATGTATTTTCCACAAAACAAAATTGTAGAGCATCTATCCATGGAATTTCTTCTGTAACTGAATAAAACTGGTACAAAGGCACATAAATATTAAAGAAATAAAAGTACCACGCTATGTGTGTATAACCAGGTAACTCACATGCAGTGCATATCAAATCAGACGCTGCACTGTGCTGTTCAGCAAAGTGTTTGCACCTGCAGCGAATGGGCTGCGTGCCATTCAAAGGGACATACAGGTAAGCCCGGCACTGGCAGCCAGTCACCTGGCAAGGCAAACTGATGGGGCGCTGCTGTGGCATCGTTTCAAAATCAGTTTTATGTTGTTTATACCTAAAAACATAAAAAGGAAGAAATATAAATACAATGTAGGTATTAACAAAAATTATCATTTGTTTCCTGTTAAATGCAAATATGAATTCTCAAATACAAATATTATGCTTTTTTTTTTTCTCTTGTTCTTACTTACCAGATACCATCGAGCTGACCTGACTTATACAGCCATATGTGTGTCAGAGTAGAACTGTGCAACATCAGGTTTCCAATGGCTGATTTTTCAGAAGGAGATCACCAGGCCTTTCTTCTGAGGTGGAGGGACTCAAGCACGTTAACAGTTTACATTCTCTACCTTTTACCTTCGAGTTGATTCTAACTCATAGCAATCCTGTATCATTTGAGAAGCTTGTGGGCTTGTACTGCCAACCATGCAGTTAGCAGTCGAGTGCTTATCCTACAACGTCACACCAGTACTCCTAGCATCCTTTGGTGGTGGTGGTGTCGGTTCTGACTCACAGTGACCCTGTATAGGGGTTCCAAAGCTGTAAATCTTCACTGGAGTAGAAAGCCTCCTTGTTCTCCCAGAGAGCGGCTGGTAAATTCAAGCTGCAGACCTTACAGTTAGCAGCTGAACTCGTAACCCACTAAGCTATCACGGCTCCTTTGTTGTTGTTGTTAGGTACCGTGGAGTCGGTTCTGACTCATAGTGACCTTGCACAGGGTTTCCGAGGCTATAAGTCTCTACAGGAGCAGAAAGCCTCATCTTTCTTCCGCGGAACAGCTGGAAATTTCGAACTGCTGACCTTGAGGTTAGCAGCACGATTCGTAACCACTATGCTACCAGAGCTCCTTACAACAGAGTAAAACTGTCCTACCCCATAGGGTTTCCTATGTATCTTTATGGAAACTGACTGCCATATCTTTCTCAGAACCTTAGAAAGGCTGGTAGGTCAGAACTGCTGACCTTTATCAGCCAAGCACTTAATCACTGTAACACCACGGCTCCTTTGTACCACCTAATAAGGTAAAAGTAAACTACCTTATATGCAGTAAAAGGAGGCCTGCTGGTCCAGTGGTTAAGGGCTCAAAAACTAACTAAAAAGGTCAAGTTCTGCAGGAGAAAGACAGGGCAGTCTGCGTCCACACAGATCCACAGTCTTAGAAACCCGCTGGGTCGGTTCTACTGTGTCCTATGGGGTCACTGAGAATCAGGATCAACTCAAGAGCAATGGGTTTGGGTTTTGGTACGTGCAGTATGTGGATCAACTCTGTGGCTTTGGTCAGAGAAAATCTTCACTCTTTTAAGTCTTTAGTCTTTATTTAAGAAGAATTTTCAAGCAATAAAAAAAAAATCGTAATTCCCTTAAAATACTTAACACTACAGAAGTTTTTTAATGCAAATGTAATTTAAGAATATGAAAAAGGTTCTTCATAGAAAATCTTTGTATCATACTGTATTAATAAAATGTATTTGTATAGGTTCATTATTAAAATTTAAATAAGCTCAACAAATGTATTAATATATTTTAATGTAACTTATTGACTCTTCAAAACAATCACCTTTTTCTAAAATCCAATGCTCTTTATTAAAACAATGTAATCTTTTAATAATCCACTTTCTTCTCATAATATGATACTCAGTACAATAAAACTGAATTGATTATTCTCAATTTTAATCTAAGAAATGCAAGTTAAATTTAAAATAGCAAGAAAAAGAAAAAGCTTTTTAAATGTAAATTAAAATGCTGGCAAAGCAAAAATACTTAATAATGTTTTAAGAAACATAAAAGATTCACCCTTTGACCCAGATAGTTCACTTTTTAGGAATGTATCTTAAGGAAAGGAGCCCTGGGAGCATCGTGGATTACAAACTGGACTGCTAACCAAAGGTTAGTCATTGGAATCTATCAGTTGCTCCATAGGATTTATAGTCTCAGAAACCCTCTACTGGGTTGCTATGAGTCTGAACCAAGTTGGTAGCACACAACCACCACTTTAAGGAAAGAGCTTTATCCATAAAGATAATATTAGCAAATACATAAATATATAAAGAAAATGCTGATGATAAGGAAATGTTGTTGTTAAGTGCCATCAAGTCAGTTCCAACTCACAGCGAGACCCTATATAAAGGGTTTCCAAGGAACAGCTGGCAAGTTCGAACCACTCGTGTTGTAGTTAGAAATCCAGTGCTTATTCTACAGCACCACACCCGATTCCTGGTGGAATAGGGAATACATAAGTAAATCACTGGACGGTAGTTATAAAATTCTTTAGCAATGCATTACTTTCTTAACTAAAATCTTTTCAAGAACTATAATATGTAAAAAATTCAGACAAAGGAAAGAGTAAAAATTGAAGTTTCTCCTAACCTGAATTTCCAACTTGGCACACCCCTGAGGCTTTTTCACAGTTCTAGGGAACACAAACTGAACTCCTCTAAACTAATTAGAATAGTATACAAATGCCAAAAATAGTGTTAGTGGAGCTTCCTGTTTGGTGAAAAGCATCAGGGCTTGGGAAACTGTGACTCTTTTTTTGCAGGACATTTATGTCCCACGCTGGGGATCCTCCCAGGCCATGCTCTATGCATCTCTTCATTTCTAATTATTTTTCTTTAATAAACCTGTAATCGAAGAGAGACTTCAATAAATCATTGAAACACTTCTCTCTTTAGAAAAACAGACCTGTACTGCTTCTGTAAGGAGCTCTGGTAGCACAGTGGTTACAAATCGGGCTTCGTACCACAAGGTCAGCAGTTTGAAACTACCAGCTGTTCCATGGGAGAAAGATGAGGCTTTCTGCTCCTGCTAAAGATTTATAGACTCAGAAACCCTGTACAGGGTCGCTATGAGTAGGAAGCGACTCCACAGCACATCACAACAACTGCTGAATCTTAACTGCAGTGATGAAGATATATTAAAAGGCTAAAGAACAGAATTTACTTGATGAAAATATTATGCTTTTGTCAGAAAGGCAGAGTCAGTTAAAACAAGCTGTTGCAAAAAATGATTCAACAGTGTTGTAACTTACGTTTGAGCAAATCACACCTTCTGAATCAAGTTTTGATTGATACTATACAAATGGGTACAGAAACAAAGAGTAATGCTGAAACTGAGTATGTCAGCTGCCATCAGATCACCCCAACTCATGGCAACCCCAGACCAACAGACTCAGATTACTGTGACCCAGAAGATTTTCAAGGGCTGATTTTCTGGAAGTTCACTGCCAGGATTTTTTCCTAGCTGTCTTAGTCTGGAACTGGAAGCACCATGAAAACTTCTTCAGCATCATAGCACCATGCAACTCTCTATTGAAAGACAGATAGTAGCTGCATTTGAGGCACGTTTACCAGGAATTGAACCCCGGTCTCCAGTGTGGAAGGCAAGACCTCAAGGTTGTTTTGAACCGCAAGGTTCGAGCTCACCAGCCACTCCTTGGAAACCCCATACAGGGTCACTATGACTCAGAACCGACTTGACAGCACTTATCAACAACTATTATACAACAATAAGGAGCTCTGGTAGCGTAGTGGTTACGAATCGGGCTGTGAACCTTAAGGTCAGCGGTTCGAAACTACCAGCCGCTCCGCAGGAGAAAGATGAGGCTTTCTACTCCCGTAAAGATTTACACCCTCGGAAACCCTGTACAGGGTCGCTATGGGTCAGAACTGACTCAACGGCACTTAACAACAACAACAATTATAGAACAATAACCTGGACTGCCAGAAGGACAAATAAATCTCTCTTGAAAGAAGTTCAGCCAAAATGAACACTCCTAAGAGCCAAGGATGCCGAGACAATCTCATGTCATTTGATGTGTGATCAGGAACGACTGGTCCCCGGAAAAGGACACCACACTTGGAAAAGTAGAGGGTCAGAGAAAAAGAAGACCTTCGGTGAGACAAATGAAAACAACGGCTGCAACAATGGGCTCAAAACTAACAACCATTGTGAGGATGGTGTAGGAGCTGGCAGTATTTCATTCTGTTGTACACAGGGGGACTGAGTGGGAACCAACTTGGTGGCACCTAATAGCAAAGCACTATAGGAGACCAGCAATGAAGAGGCTAGCACAACTTCTAGATCTGATGAGGAGTAGGAGAAGCTTCTCTCGAATCGACTCATTAAAATGACATTCTTTGTTAAAGTAGATAGGGTAACAGGCATTGTCAACTTCCAGGGACTCAAGGACACAAATAATTAATCTTACTGAACTGGTCTCCTTTTGACCTTAAAGTTCTCTGACTTTATTGTTTAACTTTATGTTTGCAACTGGCACCAAAAAAAAGAATCAAATTCTATCACATGAATATTCAAAAAACTGTGTCATTAACTTACCCAAAAGGTTTTCTAGCATTTTAAACTTTATTTATTTTCATTCGGCTAACGACCATAATTACAATAAAAGCAGTGGTGGTGGTTGTGTGCCACAGAGTGAGTTCCAACTCAGAGTGACCCTGTGTGTGATTTTCAAGGCTGTAAATATTTACAGGACTAGAAAGTCTCATCTTTCTCTCACAGAGCAATGGTTAGATTCAAACTGCTGACCTTGCAGTTAGTAGCCAGCTCATGATCCACTATACAACCAGGGCTCCTTAATAAAAACAGTACATACATGTTTCCGTTTCTATGGCTGCCTTTGTTTCCGAATATTTCATTAGGGTAGTGATTTGGCAAGTGTTTGTTTAAATAAACAAATCCTGTTGTAAAGCTATGAAAAAGGAAATCAAAACATTTTAGGAAAAAAATTTTAATCTTGTTTATAATTACTACATAACAATATGGGAGTATGTTTATGTGATCCTGTCATAAAAAAAGAAAGTCTCAATATTTTATATTGTTGTTAGGTGCCATTCGGACTCACAGTGGTGCCATGCACAACAGAATAAAACACTGCCCAGTTCTGCACCATCCTCGATCATTATGCTCAAGCCCATCAGTCCAGGCACTGAGCCAATCCATCCTGTTGCGAACCTTCCTCTTTTATGATGATCCTCTACTTTACCAATGTTCTTTCCCAGGGAATGGTCCCTCCTGGATAATATGTTAAAAAAATGTGAGACAAAGTCTTGACATCCTTGTTTCTAAGGACTATTCTAGCTATACTTCCTTCAAAACAGATTTTTTTTGTTTCAGCAGTCCATAGTATTTTCAATATTCTTTGCCAAAACCATATTTCAAATGCATAAACTTTCACACACATGAGGTAACTGAAAAGACCATGGCTCAGGTCTGGTCCTCAAAATGACATCTTTGCTCTTTCACACTAATGAGATCTTTTGCAGCAGATATGCCCAGTGCAATACGTGATTTGATTTCTTGACTGCTTCTTGTCAGGAGGGACCAGTCACTGGAGAAGGATATCATGTTTGGTAAGGTAGAAGGTCAGAGAAAAAGAGGAAGACCCCCCAGTGAGATGGACTGGCAAGGTGGCAGCATCAGTGGGGTCATGCATGGCAACAGTGGTGAGGTTGGCCCAGTACCAGGCAGTGTTTTGTTCTGCTGTATATAAGGTCACTATGGGTCGGTACCGACTCGATGGCACCTAACAACAACTTCAATGAATATAGATTGCAGAGCCAAGTAAAATGCAGTCCTTGACAACTTCAGTATTTTCTCTATTTATCATGATATTGTTTATTGTTACAGTTAAGGATTTTTGTTTTCTCTGCATTGAATTGTAATCCACACTGAAGGATGCACAACAACCAAAAAAACTATGTGATGAAATTATATGAATACAATAAAAATATATGTAACAGCAGCTGGCTTTGGTGGTGAGTCTTGTTTCTACATTTATATATACATATTCCCAATTTTACTTAATATTCATGTACATAAAACACAGCCATCAAGCGGATTCCAACTCACAGCGACAGCGCAGAACTGCCTCATAGGGTCTCCAAGGCTGTAAGCCTAAGGAAGCAGATGGACACATCTTTCTCCTGTAGAGGGACCAGTGTGTTTGAACCACTGACTTCTGGTTAGCAGTCAAGCACTTTAAGTAATGAACTACCAGGGTTCCTTCTGTGTATATGTTGTTGTTGTTATGTGCCGTGGAGTCGGAACCGACTCATAGCGACCCTGCACAGGGTTTCCGAGGGTGTAAATCTTTACGGGAGTAGAAAGCCTCATCTTTCTCCCGCTCTGTGTATATAATGGGGGGTAAAAACAGATTGAGCAGAGATCTCATTTCATAGCAAACACCAAAGAAAAAGTTTTCCACTGGAGTTGGTTGGATCTATTTTCAGGGTCCTGGTGTGGCACTGTAGGATAAGCACTGGACTGATACCCACAAGGTCGGTGGTTCCAACTCACCAGCTGCTCCTTGGAAACCTTACACAGGGTCGCTAGGAGTTGGAACAGACTTGACGGCACTTGACAACAATTACAGCATTGTGTTCTGAGGAAGCCCTGAAGGAAGGGTGGCTGAGGTGCTCACCAGCTGCTCCCTTCCGTAACAATTCCAGGCTTGGAAACCCTGAGGCAGTTCTATTCTGCCCTATAGGGTCACTGTGAGTTGGAATCAACCTGATGGCAAGGGGTTTGGCTTGGGTTTTTGGCATAAATTATATATACATCAGAGCCCTGGTGTGTCACTGTAGAATAAGCACTGGACTGGTCACCAGATGCCCTTGGAGACCCTACACAAGATCGCTCTGAGTTGGAACCAACTCAACGGCGAACAAAAACAGCATACATGGATAAAGGGACTGACACTAAATTCGTACAAGAGTAAATTACAAAACAATTACAAATTTACATAACTCTTCAGTTCTAAAGGACAGCAATATATCCTCATTATCCATTCTTCCACCTTCCATTCCTCCACGGTGTTTTTGGTTGGGGTTGCTAAGTTTAAAGTCAATCTATAGAAAACATTACTCATCCTAGCATCTGCCTAAGAAACCTCTGACAAACAAAGTTTGTAAATAGCAACCATACAAAGAGTCATAAGAAAGAACCCCAGAAATTCCTATGAGAATGGGCAGTTCCCCTTTAATCATTCCTTTAGGACAGAACATTAAAGCTGCTACCTACAAATACATACTAGGCTCAGCGACTGCTTTGTAAAGCAGCTGGGCCATTTTGAGCTCAAACTGTGACCTGTGGTGGCAGTAAAATTCAAAGGCAAGCACATACAAAACGTAAACCTCAGGCATGGGCAACACACATCAATGACTTAGCCTTATGTATTTCCTTACCTCAATGTGCTCTTCTTGGAACACGATCACTTATAATTTAAAAAAAAGCAAAAGACATACATTTTTATTTAAAGGAAGGTACCAAGAGCAGTTTCTTAAAGTATAAAAGAAGACTGGTGAATGCAGATAAGAAATGCTTCTATTTATACATGGATAACCTAGTTTTTTGAATCCTGGTGTGGCGCTGTGGGCTAATGCATCAGACTGTAAAGTCGTTTGAACTGCAAGGTCAGTGGTTCAAGCTCACCAGCTGCTCCTTGGAAAACCTATATAGGGTCGCTATGAGTCAGAATCGACTCGACGGCACTTAACAACGTGATTTTTAGTTGCCACTGAGAAGACTCTGACTCACGGTGATCCCACGTACAACAGAACAAAATGCTGCTGGTCCTATGGAATTGGCATAGTCATTGGTCTGCTCGAGTTTGTGACAGTCACTATAGATTCTGAGTGCCTTCCAATCTAGAAGGGTCATCTTTCTGTACCATATCAGCAGTATGCTGCTGTGCTCTTAGGGTTTTCATTGGATAATTTTTGAAGTAGCTTACCAGGCCTTTCTTCCTAATCTGTCATAGTCTGGCAGGTCTGCTGAAACCTGTCCACCATGGGTGACCCTTGCTGGTATGTGAAATACTGGTAGTATAGTTGCCAGCATGATAGAAACACAAAACCACCCCAATCCCAGTATGACAAACTGGGTGGGGAGAACATATGATTAGTGTGATTCAACTCAAGCAATGCTTAAATCAATCCTGTCAGTCAATCTGTCCTCCACCTTGTCGAACGGGAGTGAGAAGACTCTGTTCTCTGGTCCACATCAAAGACCCCTAACAAAGCCAGAGAGCATTGGTATCTTTTTTATAGTTTACAGAAATAAGTTCCATGATGTGTTCTAATATGACAGAAATTTTTAAATGATAATTTAAAAAACCCTTTAGATAATTTCTAGTATACCAAACCATATCTACTGCCATCAAGTCAATTCTGACTCATATAAGGTTTCCAAGACTGTAAATCTCTCTGGAGCAGACAGCCTCATATTTCTCCTGTGGAGCACCTAGCAGGTTTGAACTTCCAACCTTGCAGTTAACAGTCCAAGGCTTATCCCACAGCCCTTCTACAGCTCCTTAGTAGATAAAGGCCTACTAAAGTTTCTCAGTCATCACAAACAATGCTATTTATGGAAAGAAGATATGCTGTGGTATGGTTTTCTATTTCTAATAATAAATTTAGCAATAAAATATCTTACCTATGTGTACAAAAACAGAGAGTCTCTGGGCCCACAAGTTTACAGTCCATTCCAGTCGGTGATCGCCAGCTCACATATAATCGGTTCTGTACACGCATAGGTAAAACTTTCCTTTTGTATTCTTCAAATTCTTCAGGAGTAAAAAGTTTCCCGCCGTCATCCTCACCAACAATTCTACAACAAAAAAACACTTCTCTTAAGGATCTCTTCTCCAGATTAAAATACTAATCTCTAAACTAGATCTAAACTACACCTGTAGTCAAAGGAAAGGCTTCTTCAACTTTCATCTTTGACTGTAGACACATGCTAAAATCATACACATGTTAAAAAAAAAAAAAAAAAGGACTATTGACTAGCATATAAAACAAAATTAACAGAAACTCAATGAAATGCATGACATCTGAGTTTACTGATAATGGCATTTACTGATAGAACATGCTCACAAATCATCAGGTATTCATTCATCTCAATTTCTTATTTGATTCTGAAGCACACATGCTCATTTTTCTCACTGAAAGCTAGACTACAAAGTGCTCAAAGTTCTAACATTTTCTTTCTTTAAAACAAGTACCAAAATACCCTGAACTTTAAAAACATTTCAACAAACATTTGTCAGCTCCATACACTATGCAGGGGTAACCACGATGAATACGGAAGGCCTTGTATATTCCTTCCACCACTCGCTGGACAGTTTTTCATGTGATGCTGGTTTAGATGTGGCTGTTGTGATGCTGTAAATAATACCACTAGTATTTCAAATACCAACCTTGTGGTTAGCAGTTCAGTACTTATTTAACCCATTGCACCACAAGGGCTGTTGGTCTAATATGCCAGAAATGACAAATTGAAGAGGAATGGCATTGCATTCATCATAAAAAAAGAACATTTCAAGATCTTTCCTGAAAACCTTATCAATGATAGGATAATAGCCATACACCTACAAGGAAGAGCTGGTGTGGCATTATGGGAGAAGCACTGGGCTGCTAACCACAAGATTGGCAGTTCAAACCTACTTGCTGCTCCTAGAGTCAGACCAGACTCAATGAAACTTAACAACACAAGGAGGACCAGACAATACAACTACTATTCAAATTTACTCATCACCTACTAATGCCAAACAAAAATGAAGAAATAGAAGATTTTTATCAACTTCTGCAGTCTGAAACTGATCAAACATGTAATCAAGAAACATTGACACTGGTGATTGGAATGTACAAGTTGGAACCAAGGATCAGTTGCTAGAAAAAAAGGCCTTGGTGATAGAAACAATGTAAGCAATCCAATAGAATTTTTGAAGTCCAATGACTTATTCATTGCAAATAGCCACACACACTTCAGACAGAGGAAATTCACAGGAGACAAATCAAACACATCTGTGAAAAGAGATGAAGCAGCTCAATATCATCAGCCAGAACAAAGCCAGGAAACAACTGCAGAACAGACCATCAGTAGCTCATATGCAATTTCAAGTGGAAACTGAAGAAAATTAAAACAATTCCACAAGAGCCAAAATAAGACCTTGAATATATCCCACCTGAGTTTAGAGGCCATCTCGACGCATTAAACACTTATGACTGAAGACCATATGAGTTGTGGAATGAAATCAAGAACATCACATATAAAGAAAGCAAAACAGGAAAAAAAGAAACAACCAAAATGGATGTCATTAGTGACTCTGAAACTTGCTCTTAAACGCAGAGTAGTAAATTTGCTTAGCCTGGCTCTTCTAGCCATAGTCTTTATGTTGTTGCTGTTAAGTACTGTCTAGTCAGTTCCAACTTAAAGCAACACAGTATAGAGTTTCCAAGGAGCGGCTGGTGAGCTTGAACCACCGATCTTGCAGTTCAAGCCAATCTTGTGGTCCAATATATTATCCCACAGCACCACACTAGGACTCCATAATTCCCATCAAATGACTGCATTGTTGTTGTTTGTTGCTGAGTGCTGTTGAAATGACTCCAACCCACAGTGACCCTGTACAGGGTTCCAAAGAGCAGCTAGGGAGCTTGAACTGCCGACCTTGCAGTTCAAATTAACTTTGCAGTCCAGAGCATTAACTCGCAGCACCACACCAGGACTCCAAAAACGACTAGATAGGAGCATGCAAATAGGGTGTGTGGCACTCTAATAACTGGAAGGTTCTGCCATTCACTAGGTATAAAGTGAGCCATCTCAGAGGTGGGATCAGGAGCTCTCAGGACTACAAAGAAAGAAGAGAGTCATGAGTGGAGCTCATCCTCTGAACTTCAAGATGCCCGAGCGAAAAAGTGGTGTTGCCATTAAGTGGCAGAGAACCAAGTGGTAGAGTGGTAGTAGCAGAGAACCAAGAATACCAGACTAAGCAGAGAGCAATTTTCTTGGCCATGGAGCAAGTAGAGCTGAGTGCCTTTACCAGGAGTGAGGTGCTTTCAGACACTTAATCAGGAAAGCTAGGTTTGCTAACTCACAGAACTAGAGCTGAGTGAGGATCTGGAATTGTAACCTGCTAACTTTGCTAATAAATCCCATAATAATGGAACTAACAATTTTAAAATGTAGCAGAAAATACAACTAATGCCCATTAAAAAAAAATATACCTTAGTATTGATTCCATTTATTTTTACCCTATACCTGACCAGTTGACCCATCCTTGACTTTGTGGAAACTCAAGTCCACATCCAAACACCCCCTCTCACCTACATACTTTTATAGAGAAATGTTTCAGATCATTTATGCTTGCAAAAATAATTTCCCACCCTCTCCTAACATATTCTGGGCCAGGCAAGAGACTACAAGTGGAGGCCCAGAAGCTACATATCTAAAGGATCAGTCACCATCAGGGGCCAGAAACTTGTTCCGATGGGAAAAACTGGAGTCTAAAAGGGCAGGCTCTGCCCAGGCTGAAAGCTGGGTGGAAGGTGCCAGGTATCCCATGATTACCTGGACCAACCTGATCTAGGGATGAGGATTGAGCCACTAGCTCCTTAACGTCAGTCCTCACTATTCCGACTTCGAATATTCACGCAGTTTTAACACTTCCCAAAACTATACACCGGCGGCAGTGAGCTGGGAGAGCGTCTGACCAGACACCCCCTGGGCGAAGTGCTGAGACCGACGTTAAGCCCAGCCGCCACTCTGTCTCAGACTTCCCGCCAGTACACACACGCCCTCCCGCCTGCCCTCTCCAGTAATTCCCATCTGTCCAGTTTCCTAACTTTCAGGACGATTTCTTATGAGCCCAAATAACACGCCGCCCCAGATGCATAGGCCTTGGTGAGGGCTCAGGCTTAGGACAAAGAATCACGTCCAAAGCCGCTAAAGGGGTCGCTGCCTTTCTGTTCCCGGAGCCATGCAGACAACACCAGTCAGCGTATTTCTCTTGAAACCAACACCTCCAGGTTTGGGAGCAACTCTGATAGTTCTCAACTTACCCTATTACTGAAGTAACGAACCCTTTAGACCTACTAGCTTGTATAGGGCCCTAGTACTCAATGTGCAATCCCTCCATGGCCATTTAGAAGAAACGATTATACCTTTACATAAACCTAGAGTTAACAATCCCTTCTGGAAGTAGAGAGGGCAGACCTCTGCAATAGCCTCGAAAAAGACTGATGAATAAAACTACGTATCACTACAATAAACAATTACTCAAAGGCCAAACTGGAACTATCCAAACCTTCCCCAACAGCCCAGAAAGGGATTTCGGGATCTCGGCGCTCTGCCCGGGGTCCCTGCCTGCTCCACTAGCCCTCCTCCAGTGGAGCCGCCGAGGCGCGGGTTCCCTGCCCGGAGCCGCCCCACTCACCTTCGATACTCCAGGTACTCGTCTATGGCTTCCGCGCCGCCGGGAGGCAACGTCAGCCGCTCCATGGCTCCCAGGTGACGGAAAGCAGCCCGCGTCCAGCGTCTCCAATCCTCACAGCGCGAGATCCGAAGCCCGAGGAGCTAGAATCTGCCCCACCCCGCCTCCTGCCACCCGGACCACTCCTACTTCCATCGAGGCCGCGCCCCCTCTCACCGTCCTCCTGATTGGCCAGGCTGAAGACCGCCCACGCGGGGGCTCGAGAACCCTGCTCTAACCAAGCTCTATACCGCCCTCCTCAAACCTTGCGACTGTCACCTGCCCCTTTTCCTGAGTCTGCATATCTCCATGTGAAACAATGAAGAGTTCAATGCGTTGCATACAAGAGATGTACAAGAAATGGCCTCTTTCTTTGCATAGCGCTTTTCACGTAATGCATCTATTGAAATATAAGTGGTTTTGTGAAGTTTTGGTATTATACCCGCCTTCCCATATTCACCAGTCTTTTCAAAACGGGAGTTTTGAAAATCGTGATATACACTAGTTATTGGGTTTGGATGTCACAAAAACAACATGTTCTTAAAAGACAGCGAATGACAATGTTTAAGGAGAAATAAGTAGAAACTATCTTGTTAGACTTTTGTGTTTTTTTGTGCTTTCGGAAAGATCCTGCACAAAATCTACTAAAAGTTCAACTAGTATGCAGTTGGTAACTTGACCACAATTTGTTGTTAGTTAATGTCCAGTTGAGTGTTTGACCATTTGCACCAACCAGGATCTTAGCTATTAATTTGTTGTTGCTGTTTAGTGCTGTCGAGTGGGTACCTATTCATAATGACACTGTATAGGGTTTCCAGGAGCCACTGCCGACCGTCCAATTCAAACCGACCTTGGGGTCCGGTGCTATGCTACAGCGCCACATCAGGACTCCAGTATTAATTTAGCTTGTTGTTGTTGTTAAGTACATCGAGTAGGTTCCTACTCATAGTTACCCTGTTTAGGATTTCCAAGGAGCAGCTGGCGAGTTTGAACCGCCAACCTTGCTGTTCAAACTGACCTTGCAATAAAATGTTAATCCTAAAGAGCCACACCAGGAATGTTAGTAACCTAAAAAAGAACAGGAAAATCCATCTTTACTCGGGAAGGACGCCTTAAAGGGACTCCCTGGGGAACAGCATTGACCCATAAACCTGCTGCCATGAAGTGAATTCTGTGACTGCTTGTTGTTACAGAGTAGAAGTGCTCCATAGGGTTGTTTTGATTTATTTTGTTTTTATCAACAAAAGCAGACTGCTAGACTTCTTCTGTAGTTCCATTGTTGTTGTCGTTAGGTGCTATTGAGTTGATTCCAACTCATAGCACCTTGTATAAGATTTCCAAGGAGCCACTGGTGGATTTGAACAGCCGACCTTATGGTTCACAGTCCAATGGTGATCCTACAGCACCAAGATTGGGTGGGACCATGCAAATAGGGTGTACAGGACTCTAATGTCAGGATTGGTTAGTTTTACAATCTAATAGATTTAAAAGGAGATCTGTCTTGAAATAACAATACTGTATGTGATAGGATACCCATAAATGTACAGGGAAGACCATATAATACCACTATTATTCAAATTTATGCACCAACCACTAAAGCCAATGATGACAAAATTGAAGAATTCTACCAAAATCTTCAGTTTGAAATTGATCAAGCATGCAATTAAGATGCATTGATAATTACTGGTGGTTGGAATGCAAAGAATGGGAACAAAGAGGAAGGATCAGTAATTGGAAAATACGGTCTTGGAGACAGAAATGATGCTAGAGATAACATGATAGAATTTTGCAAGACCAAAGACTTATTCATTATATATATCTTTCTCTCAACAATGTAAAAGCAACTATAAACATGGATCTCACCAGCTGTAATACACAGAAATCAAACTGACTACAACTGTGGGAAGAGACTTTGGAGAAACTCAATATCATCAGCCAAAGCAAAGCCAGGGGCTGACTGTGAAACAGATCATTAATTGCTAATGTGTAATTTCATATTGAAGCTGAAGAACATTAAAACAACTCCATGAGAGCCAAAACATGGCCTTGAATATGTTCTACCTGAATTTAAAGACCATCTCAAGAACAAATTTGATTATTAAAGACGAGAAGATCATGATACAGGAAGAATCAAAAGGTCACTAAGAAAACAAGAAAGAAGGAAAAGCCCAAAATGGATGTCGGATGACACTCTGAATTTGGTCCTTGAGCATAAAGATGCTATAGCAAATGGAAGAAGTGAGGAGGTACAAGAGCTGAACAGAAACTTTCAAAGGTCAGTTAGAGAAGATAGTCAAATATTATAATGAAATGTGCAAAGACCTGGAGTTAGAAAACCAAAAGGGAAGAATACACTCAGCATTTCTCAAGCTGGGGGAAATGAAGGAAAAATTCAAACCTCAATTTGTGATATTATGAGATTCTATGGGCAAATTATTGAATGATTCAGAAAGCATCAAAAGAAGATGGAAGGAATACAGGATCACTGTACCAAAAAGAAATGGTCAATGTTCAGCCATTTCAAGAGGTAGCATATGATCAAGAGACAATGATCCTGAAAGAAGTTCAAGGTGCATTGAAAGCATTGACAAAGAACAAGGCACCGGGAATTGATGGAATACAAATTGAGATATTTCAACAAACTGATGCAGCTCTAGAGGCACTCATCCATCTATGCCAAGAGATTTGGAGGACAGCTACCTGGCCAACTGACTGGAAGAGATCCGTATTTGTGCCCATTCCAAAGAGACATCCCCAAACGGAATGTGGAAATCATCAGGCAATATCATTGATATCTCATGTGAACAAAGTTTTACTAAAGGTATTCTAAAAATGGCAGCAACCATACATTGACAGAGAACTTCCAGAGGTTCAAGCTAGATTCAGAAGAGGACCTGGAATGCAGGTATCATTACTGACGTCGATGGATCTTGACTGACAACAAAGAATACCAGAAATGTTTAACTGTGCTTTATTGACAGCGCAAAGACCTTCAATAGTATGGATCATGACACACTATGGACAAAATTGTGAAGTATGAGTAATCTGGAACACTTAATTGTGCTCACAAGAAACCTTTACATAGACCAAAAGACAGTTGTTTGAACAGAGCAAGGGAACACCGAATGGTTTAAAATTAGGAAAGATGTGCAACAGGGTTGTATTCTTTCACCATATTTATTCAATATGTATATTGAGCAAATAATTCCAAAAGCTGGATTTTATGAAGAAAAACATGGCATCAGGACCAAAGGAAGAACCATTAACAACCTGTACTATGCAGATGATACAACCTTGCTTGCTGAAAATGAAGAGAACTTAAAATACTTATTGAAGAATAAAGACCACAGCCTTCGGTATGGGTTGCATTTCAATGTAAAGAAATAAAAAATTCTCACCACAGAACCAATAAACAAAATTCATATGAATGGAGAAAAGATTAATGTTGTCAATGACTTCATTTTGCTTGGATCCACCATCAACACTCATGGAAGCAGCAGTCAAGAAATCAAACGACGTATTGCATTAGGTAAATCTGCTGCAGAAGACCTCTTTAAAGTCTTGAAGAGCAAAGATGTCAGCTTGAAGACTAAGGTGTGCCTGAGCCAAGCCATGGTATTTTCAATAACCTCAGATGCATACAAAAGCTGGGCAGTGAATAAGGAAGACCACAGAAGAATTGATGCATTGAGTTATGCTGTTAGAGAATATTATAAGTACCAAGGACTGGGAGTCTATAAAGGTACAAAGTGGCTGGCTTACAAGTTTTCAAGAGGGAATTTCGTTTCAGAGTGAGGTGGGGAAGGTAGAATCCCCACTGAATAGTTTTAATCTACTCTAGATGCTTATGGTGAAAGGAGATGGGCATAGAATTCTTTTGATTCAATAGTGGGTAATTGTTATCATGACTACCTGCGATTGCCACAACTGTAAAGGTAGAAGTTGTGTAACAAAAAAGGGAGGAGTAGTGCATTCCATGAATAAGGAACCAAGGACCATAAAGATGGAAGAGCAAGAATGGCATGTGAGATCCTAACCAGAGAAGCAGTGACACCAGAGACAGAGGCATAGGGTGATGGTATGGAAAGAAAGAGCAGCTGAGCACTCTAGACTAATAGAAAGAGAAAGGCTGTGTGTTGGCAGGCAGGAGGCTAGCTTGCAAAATGTGCCCCTTGGCTGTTTAACATTTATATATACCTCATGTTTGTGTGTACACCAAAGCAAAGCAAGAATACAGGTAAATACTGTTAACCGAGGGCGCATGGAGGAGATTGTAATCATTGCAGTAAAACAAAATACGATTGTTGTTGTGCCATTGAGTAGATTCTGACCCATAGCGACCCTGTATAGGGTTTCGGAGGAACAGCTGGTGAGCTTGAACCACTGACCTTGTAGTTCAAATGACTTTGCAGTCTGATGCATTAGCCTACAGCACTACACCAGGACTCCAGATATAGATATAGATATATAGATATATATCATGGACTGCCAAAAGAACAAACAGATCTGTGTTGGAAGACATTCAGCCAGGGTGCTCTTTGGAAGCTAGGATAGCCGGACTTCATCTCTCACACTTCAAACATATTATCAGGAGGGACCAGTCACTGGAGAAGGATATCATGTTTTGTAAAGTAGAGGGTTGAAGAAAGAGGAAGATCCTGAACGAGATGGGTTGTTGGCACAGTGGTGGCAGCAATGGACCCAGGCCCAGCAATGATTGTGAGGTTGGCCCAGCATGGGGCAGTGTTTCTTTCTGTTGAGCATAAGGGCGTTATGAGTCAGTACCAACTCGATAGCACCTAACTACTACTACTATTAACTATAATTTTTTCAATGTAAAGGTGATGATCTATCTGTAAACCTTCTTTCAATTCACAAAAAAATTTGAAATTGAATAGACATTTCTCCAGAGAAGATAAACAAATGGCCATGTGATGAAATGGAGATAGGACCTGGAAAGATTTCCAGAAGTGCTAGACATTAACAAGATTTTTTTTTTTTCTAAGCACTGCTGTATTAGTAATTGGTG